CAATTGTCGATCCGATCAACAATTACGTTTGTTTTTTTTCACGAAAACGCTGTTAGCTGAACCGTCAGTCTGGTGTAGACTGTTGACAGATGCACACGAGATCAATTTTGATACTTCAAATAAAGAATCACGTGGGCTTCTGTCAACAATAGCATCTTTTAGTTCGCGTAGGATTAACCGAACTCAACTATTGTTATTATTGATTCATTACCCACTTGGATTTGGATACCAAGAGGTTGGTACCTACCTAAACAATTAAAAATGTGAAAACAATAAATGAATGTATTTTTCTTGCAACCTACATTTTCTTCTTCAAATTATATATTAAGTACCGCAGAAATAAGCTACATTTACATTGTGGTACCTATCTATACTAGATAGATATTCAAACTGTTTGCAATAAATGTAAAATTTGAGTCCTTAATGTATAATATAAATTAATTGCATCCCCAGCATTACACCCATTTGGTCTTATATATTCTCGTTCACAGAGAATAGAGTCGCAAAGATTTTTCACATCGTTATCGCAAAAAGGTATTTCCCTTATGACATCCCTATCTTCTTTTATGACGTTGATTATTTCTTGAGGAATATGTACTAAACAGTTCGCACGTCCGTAATTTTCTGGAAGTTCGAACATACAAATTGGGCGTCCCGTTGGACCTCTTGAATTTCGAGAACGTCTTATTCTATGGGTATTCCATTCAAAAGCAACTTGATCCAGTTCTTCCTGAAATTGAAATATATCTTAACTTCACTGTAACACCGTTTATGTATCTACACTGTATCCCAAATTGTTTGTAATCACCGGGTTCCTCGGTAACCAGCAGAAATAGAACTTTTCCTACGACCACATACGAAAATGTCAAAATTCGCACTGGCTGGCTCGTTAGAAAGCTCTAAATATCACACGCGTGCCGAAAATACTTTGAATACGTGTGCTGAAAGTACTTTCAACACGCGCGTGGAAAATACTGTTGACAAAAATGACAGAGGAAGCAAAACATCATGTTCAAAAATTTACTTTCAATACGTGGGTGGAAAGTAGGTACTTTCAGCACGTGTGTTGAAAATTTAAAGAAATAAAATAAGAAGAAATTGATGTAAATCAGTTTCTGGTCGTAGGAAAAATGGTGTACATTGTACATCACACGTGAGAAAGCGTCTCTTTCACACTCGTGTGAAATTTGCCACTTTCTACACTCGTAATGTAATACTATTACGGTTTTTGCGACCCTATGTATCAGTTTTTCGTTTTCGTGAAACTTTGAATGTCGCAAACAAAATGTGCCATCTTGTTTCGTGCCCAAAAAATTCGCCTTATTTTTCTCTCTAAAATCTCTCTCTCACTAACCCTAAAAAGACAATATTAAAAGAAAAACGTAATTAGGCAAAATTGAAAATCGATATCGTCTTTTCCTCTGAACTTGATAAATTTAATAATTAGTTTTTTCAGTCATGTAGATTTTATTTAATATTATCATTAGGTTCATCGAGATTATCGGGGGTAATACCACGAGTGCTTCAAAATTACCGATAATTTGCATGAAAGCTTGTTGTTTTAATTACACGAGTTCGAAGAACGAGTGGAATTTGTACAACAAGCTTGAATGAAAATTATCCGGTTAATTTTTGAGCACGAATGGTATTTAGGGAGAATATTTCACGAATTTCATGAAAAATTGTAAAATTAAATTAAATTTTAATTTATAAATAACATAAATTGCCTCCAAATACTGTTTTCGGTTTTCACTCTCCTTTTTGCTCGCTTTTTTGGCTCGATTCTTACTATATTTTCGTCGATTTCATCTCCTTCAGCTTCACCAAACCGATTTATTTTGATGGATTTTCCTTTTCACGTCTCTAATTTACAATATCTACAAACATTTCATTTTTAGGTTGTCAAAATGATGTTTAAACGGCTTTATTAGTATATATGTATAGGTGATAATTCCACGTTGTCTGCTTTTTTTTGAAGACCCGTTATCTTGCAGGGTCTCTGAATATGATAACGCCCCAAAAAGGCATAATTTCTATTTCAAGTATTTCACCCTGTATCTCAACACTGGGAACAAAACAAGGTGGCACAGTTTTGTTGACGGCATTCAAAGTTTCACGAAAAACTGATACAAAGGTCCCGAAAACACGCATTCCTGTGAATACATATAACGGGTCTTCAAAAAAAAAACAAATCAAAGTTGGCTATGGGTTTCTAAACGTAGGTATGTCTTATGCCCGTATTACATCTGTGTATTTTTCTGTGTATTTATTCATGTAGTTCAGGGTGACAACCGAAAAACTTCAAACGCAACATAAATTAGCATTATGAAAAACAAAATAATGTTGGCACCCTGAACTACATGAATAAATACACGGAAAAATACACAGATGTAATACGGGCATTAGCCTTATTTTTCCTAACCTAAAAATTGAGTTTTGTAATGTCAAAATGTCATGTCAAAAATCCTCACCAATAAAGAAATAATAATTCGACGTACGTTTTCGTAATCAGAGCACCCTTTGATTTGTTTTTTTTTTTTGAAGACCCGTTACCTAAACGCTTTGTGTAGGTAGTCGATCAATTACAAGGTAAACGTAAAAAACCCAAACTAACCTGTATAAGTTGTAGGAAACAGTACTGTATAAGTGATTTATCCAAGTATGTACCTTCGAATAGCAGTGCTTCATCTCGTAAGAACTCAAAAAGGTTTATCCAATATTGAGCATTTTCTTTCCGTAAAATTGACCACCACGATTCTATTCGTTGATTAGCAGTACTTCTGCCATTTATATGGGCTGGTCTATGATTGTTTTCTTCTCTGAATAGATCACAAAATAATATTTGCAAGGCTTTTACTACGCCATTCTCAGTGCCACAGTCACTTCGTGTAGTAACAGAACAACCTCCCAACATTCCAACTGCATTTAAATAATAGTTTGCAATAACTTTCGGATCGCTGGAAGTGGAACTCGCTCTAAGCCATATTATATGTCGCGAAAAACCATCTATACAGCCATTTATACATATTCCGTATCTCTTTAACTTATCATAGGAATCCATGTGCCACAAATAATTGGGCCCCTTGCTGAAATACTGTCGCCGTCTTAATCTCCGTCGCGTTCGCGAATGTACCCCTTCAGGATCTACTACTTTAAGTACCTTTCGAACCATATCTTGAGATACAGCAAGACCATTCTGAATACACTTCAAGTGCATCCATCTGTATCCATGCATTTGAGCAGAAGCAGCTACAGCACCATTTACGAAGTTATACACATCTTGTAGAGGACTGAAAGTTCTTCTGGAAAGACGAAGCCTCTGGAGATGCCTTTTAAGAGCCCGTAAACTTATGAATATTCCATGGATATTTCGAAGAAATTGTAAAATTTCTACATGCTGCAGCCCCATTTTGAAATATTGAGTTATTAATATATCTATTTGATCCATAATGGAGGCCTGAAATTTAATATATTTAATGAGAGGAGTATATATATATATCCTAAGTTTGCAGAAGATAGTAGATAAGTAGCAAATTTCAACGTAAACATATTACCTTATTCTAGACTTCATCCGTTGTGAATTCTTTACACTGAAACACTCGACACCAGACTGACGGTTCAGCTAACAGCGTTTTCGTGAAAAAAACAAACGTAATTGTTGATCGGATCGACAATTGTCGATCGGAACGACAATTGTCGATCGGACCGACAATTGTCGATTGGACCGACAATACGCCTTCGTAGCAATGACGTATTGCAAGTATTCGAAAAATTTATATTATTGGCACTTTTCATAAGAACTAAATGTGTTAGAGAGACACAGAAGAGAAATTTGGTAGCAAATTACTAAAAAGTGAAAATATTTATTTGTGTAACCAGTTGGGAAAAGCATTATTTTTCGTAACGAATTGATTTCTGTGGAATGAGTGAAGCGAATTCCGAAAAAAGAAGCGAGTTCCGTAAAAGAAAGCGAGTATGTTTTGGGACATCACAAGGTCCACAGATCTGAAATAAAAAAATTCAGTGTCGTATTGAAAAAATAAAGTTGATGATGGTGGTTCAAAGACGGAACAGATAAATTTGAAGCCAGCATCTTGTAGGGGAGAAAAAGTACCTACGATGAAGTCATATTTTTTTTGAAATATAACTTCAAATAAAGTCAGAAAAAAAATAAAAACAATTTCGCAAAATTTCGTTTTCCTATTAGGAATATCTTAAATATCAAAACGGCATTTTGTTAAACCTCAAATTACGCATCTTTGCCCTGATTTAACCAATCCTGTAACTTTCAGCGTTTCCGAGATCCTAATGATGTGGCTCGAATTTGAAACACCCTGTACTGTTTGCAAAGCAGATGGCAGGGCAGTAATGGGGAATTCACCAGCATGCAAAGTATCCCAATACATCAATTTTTACATATTGGTGTGGATTGCACTGATGGTCCTTTACAAATGAAGTTAAACAAAGGAAAGAATTATAAATATTATGAAGGCTTATGATAGCTTGCTTCGTTATCAGTGCCATTCATATGCAGGTCGTTAGTGGCATGTCATCCATCTGACACATTATTATTGCACTTTGAAACATGGAGAGGATGATGGAATGAAATTGAATGAATTTATTTCAGGTACTTGGTTGGTAAGATATATATCATAGGATTTTTACGCTATATTTAGTATGACGTCACATTTAGTAAATTTCTACTGCCCACCTAACAAAGCTAAAAGTACTTTTCAATTTATTTAAACCAGAGGAATTTCAGATGTTTTCGATTGGCAACGGCGTGCGACGCTGCATGACTTGTATAAACATTTTCATTTCGTTATTTTTAGCTGTTGTCAGAATTATTGACACATGACATTCTGGTAAATTATAAGAAAAGAAATCGGCATTGACAACATTGAGAAAGTTAACATAGGTCTATCTTGAAGTTTTATTTCTAATAGTAAGAATTATCTGTGAACTGTAATATCAACATCTTAAATGATATAGTATCTTACCCAAAGGAGCAGCCATGGTGTAATGCAAATTCGCTGGCCCAATTTTTTCAATAGAAGATATCTCTGGTTCAGTAGTGCTACCCAAAAACTCAGTATCGTCATTTTTCTTCAATGTAAAAGGTTCTCCGGCACTGAAATCCACTCTACTGTTGTCATACCGTCTCATTTGATCTATGGGTTGACTCAAATCCAAAATAGAAATCAGCTGCTCAATGGAACCGCCCGCGTTTTTGAGCTTAGCCAAAGTCCTAAGATCGTTTTTGTCCAAATTTAATGAGGTGTAGCTGAATAGTAGTTTTTCAGCTTCTGTAAGCTTTTCACGTAATTTTTCAATATCGTGATTTTTGTCTTGAATAATGTTCTCAACTAAATTTGGTAAAATTTGATTGTCTGTTGATAATTTGTCTTTCATTTGTTGATTTTCTTGTCGTAAAACTTCTAATTCTTTTTGCATGTCGACCACTAGTTCATCATCTTTGGCTGTTGCAATGTCATTTTCCCGATCCTTTAATCTTCTTTGAATGTCTTTAATATTTGTTTCTTGCAAATGAATAGTTTTGTCTTTATTTCTTAATTTTTCCCGTAAATCCACTATTTCATTTTGCAAATCGTATATCTTAGTTTCCAGTGATGTATTTGTTTGTTTCTCAATATGTTCAGCTTTGATTCTTTGCTGGTCCAATCTTATTTGAAAATCGCTCAGTAGTACTATTTGTTCTTGAATTTGACGTTTCAGAAACTCTTTCTCATTTGTGGCTTCTTCGATTTCGGTTTTCAGCGTGCTTACTAGCATTTCCAGATCGTTGATCCGTTTTATGGCAGCCTCTTCAGCTCGCGTGTGTCTGGTGAGTTTTTCTTTGAGTCTGGCCAGCTGTTGCAGTGGTACCTCGCACTCGTCCATAGCGTTGGAGGCTCGAGCTCTAAGCAAATCCCCAACAGACATATCCTCTGAACGTGAGCTGCAACTGTTTCTGCCTGTTGAGTGTAGTTGTTCCAGTTCTTGGGTTTTCTTGTCCACGTCCAATTCGATTTCGTGGATCTAAGGAAACGTATCATTAATTATTTTTAATATGAATAATATACAGAGTGGCAAAAAAGTCGCGCATAATACCTGTAACTTTTTAATTACCTCGTATACGAAAAAGTGACCTTCAGGAAAGTTGCTCAGTAAATTATTTCCCACATTCTACCTAGACAATTTGTTTCTGTCACTTCTGGTTTGTTTGCTATCCAGGCCAACTTTGTTTTTTCAAATAGAACACCCTGTATGTGATTGCATATTTGGATTCTACGTAAAATTCTGAGCAGATTTCATGCGATATACCCTATACCGTTTTGGAAATATTGATAGTTGAAAATTAACTTTCTTGCAACTTTGATAGCGTGTAAAACCTAAATGGTTAATTTTAGAGGAAAACCTATTTCACATTCCTATCTTAGATTTTCATAAACTATCATTTGACACCAACTTTGAATTTAATCGGAGATTAAATTTAATTGGAATTAATAGTTTATGAAAATCTAAGACAGGATTGTGAAATCGGTTTTTGTCTGAAATTAACCGTTTAGGTTTTACAGCCTGTCAAAATTTCAAAAAGTCAATTTTCAATTGTCAATATTTGCAAAACAGTTCAACTTAGGTATAGGGTATATCACATGAAATCTGCTCAGAATTTCTTGTGGAATCCAAATACGCAATCATATACAGGGTGCTCTATTTGAAAAAACAAAGTTGGTTTAGATAGCAAACAAACCAGAAGTGACACAGGCAATACGTCTAGGTAAAACTGTGGGAAATAATTTACTGAGCATTAACTTTTATTAAGGTCACTTTTTCGTATACGAGTTAATTAAAAAGTTACAGGTATTATGTGCGACTTTTTTGCCACTCTGTATACTTAAAATGGCTTTGCTACAAAAGTAAAAAATCTACAGAATAGGCCTCAAAGATAAGAGACTGATATGTTATTTTCGACTATAATTGTAAATTTTAACATAAAGTGGACCTGTGAACCATAACGTTGAGGATTTTATAATTTTGGCATTTTCCAAAAAAAATGCAAAAAAATACTTCTTCTCCCAAATTTTTAATCTTATGCCGTGTTCTTTAGCATTTTATGTGGAAATTTGGATAGAGCTAAAATTAAAGACTTGGTTTCATTGTGGTTGCTAACTAATTGTTTATTGGTTGTGTTGATGGTTACGTCACTGCGTTTCCGATTGTTTGTTTATTTTCACCAAAGTAGCGGCCGTAAAGTAAAAGCGGCCGTGAAGTAAAAGCGGCCGTAAAGTAATAAAGCAAATGCGGCTGTGAAGTAAATGCGGCCGTGAAGTAAATGCGGCCGCAAAGTTAATGCGGCCAAAAAAGATATACTTTAGGGATGGTATTGAATCCGTAAAATTAATTGAATATATAAAATTATAAAATGTGTATATTATTTATATAAAAAAATCAAGTGACATTTGCAATGTTATAAAAGCTGTGGTTATAAGATAGAGATTTTACAGTTTACAGAATTCATTTTTTAAGGTAGAATCCAACTAATGTGATCTTTTTTGTCATAGATCAATAAAAGGCCTCTGGGACTTCATATAGGGAATATCGCAGTTTAAAAAAAAAATCGAAAATGAAGAAGTTGACTTCTCAACTTTACTCCTTCATATCACTAAGATTGGTCGAGAAGGATTTTTTCCACTATTTTTCTGGGGTTCCCTGAAGGGTCCCCTACAACGCACTGGAGAGTTTATGCGCCACTTGGGAATCACCCTTAGATATATTATTTTTTGCTTTTACATAAATTAGCGTCAAATGTGTTAAATGTAATTTTTATTACTAAGAAGGAAAAAAATAATATTGACATGTAGAACCGGGCCCGTGTTCCGAGGAACACGCGGAACACCGGTGACTACGCCCCTGATCAACTACACGACACGTTTGTGGCATTTTTAAATAGAAAAAACACTAATGAAGTCAATAAAATAGAAAAATAAACAGAGTTCATTCAAAAAACAACCACAAAATGCACTTTAAAAAGCTTTAAATTCCATACTCTCATATACGGGATAAGGAACTTCCGCCCCGGACGCCATTTTGGAATAGTTTTGACAGGTCGTTAGGCATTCCAACGACCTGTCAAAAAGTGCTTTGTGGGCGGACGTTCATTATCCCGTATATGAGAGTATGTAATTTAAAGCTTTTTAAAGTGCATTTTGTAGTTGTTTTGTGAATGAACTCTGTTTATTTTTTTATTCTATTGACATCATTAGTGTTTCTTCCAATTAAAAATGCCACAAACGGGTCTTGAAGTTGATTGTGGAAGTAGTTTCAACAAGGTAACAAGGTTGATGTCAGGCTTTTTTCATTGCTCTATGCTTCAAAATTATCTAATTAAAACGTGAAAATTTTTCACTTCCTGCATCTAAAATTAGGCCAGACTCAAAATATTTATGAGAATTTAAGCTATTGTAGGCCTTCATTTGCCCATTAATGTGAAATTTGTGAAAACTGATGTGGGTCAAAATGTCAACTGGACATTTTTTCAAACTAACCGTTCGCCCACATCCCGATTTTCCTGCATTTAAGTCTTTAAATATTCATTCTGCATCTCAAAAAGTATATTATAACAAAGTAAACTGTAATTAGCTTGAAAATATTCCAAATAAACTCAAGATAAACAAACAAACGTCAAATTTTCCTCGCTCGCCATAATTCATCTCTTGGTTTTATTATTTGGTTTGCATGACTCAATGTTTATGACCAGACCCATCGGCAACATTGACAGGGTCCTTCAAAAACAGTTATGTTTTAGGTGAGGTAGTCGATAATTATAGAGGACTTGCATTTTGTACAGCATGTTGAACGCATCGTCGTCCTGATATTTTTGTGAATTTGAATAAACTATTTTTTTTGCCGAAAGTCTAGCGTTTTCTCACATAAAGAAATAGTTCAAGTTCCTCAATATTTAATGTGTATTGGTAAAACAAAATTAAATTCTTTATTCAAAAATTTTACCTATAATATTATTTGATAAGAGATCCATGGTTAAAAGCAAGTAATTTCCTGTTTTTTGTTATGTTTCCTTCAAATTTTATCGTTCTAATCACTTTTTCCAAATAAGTTTTTTCGAAATTTTGCCATCTTATCCCACTTTTTGTTTTTCCATATTTAAATTTTCGAATTTGCCGCCACAACAGTGATCACGTGACCAATGTCAAAATGTAATTTTAGGTGCATGCAGGATCGATTGCACATAAGAAAAAGTTCTATATCCTACAAATAAAAAATTTCCCCATATGTAGCGAACATTATGGGGGACACTCTTTTAGACCGACTTGGTCGTAGTAATTATTTTACGACACTGGATTTAGACTTTGGCTTTCAGCAAATCGAGATGCATGGAAATTCGATATCCAGACAGCAATGCCCTTTGGATTAAAGAACGCACCAGCAACCTCCCAAAAAGTGTTGGATAAGGTACAGTAGACTCGCGCTAGTGTGAACATACGGTTCTGGGAACCTCCCAGTAGTATGAACAGCCAGAATGATACCATTATGTATTCTATAGTGTAAATATTTGAGAATCTCTGTAGTATGAACAATATATTCAACCCCGCATTTACCGTTTTTTGCCCACTTGTCGTTGTCATCTGTGGTTCCCATGTGATTCTGGGGTTTCCCGAATGTATTGAGACAAGGAATGCAGGGGGATGTTGAGGTTAAGGGTGGGTATTATAAAACTACTTTGAGAGTTAACTTTAAGTTAACTTCATGAATTACATGTAATTCAAAAAGTTAACTTTAAGTTAACTGTCAAAGCAGTTTTATAATACCCGCCCTTAGTCTATTACATGTAATAAACAAGTGAAGCGCGTCAAGAGCACCTGGAAGAGTTTATGATTTTTTAGTTTGTTGTGGTGTGGTCGAGAGTGTCGTTAACCCATTTTGTGAAAATGTCGAAAGTCAAACAATGTTAACTCTCTATGAGAAGTCTAAAATAATAGAAGATCACCAGCAAGGTATGAGCATAACAAATCTGTCTAAAAAATACGGAATTGCTAAATCAGCCGTTTGTTTGATTATTTAAAAAAAAAAAAAGATAAAATAATGACAGTTGTAAACCAAAGTGTTAGGCCAAGTAGAATTAAAAAACGTACTCTAAAAAACGCCGAATATCCAAAGATGGAAAATGCTTTGAATAAATGGTTTCTTAGACAAAGAGAATTACATTTCCCTGTAACAGGTGAAATGTTAAAACAAAAAGCCCTTCAATTCCACCAAAAATTAAAAAAAAAAAACCTAATGAAACCTTTAATGCCAGCGCCGGATGGCGGCTGCAAAATTGCCACCACAAACGAACATTTGCGGTGCAAACGAACGTTTGCAGTGGCAATTTTGGCGACTAACGTTGAGCGATGGGTGGACGAGGTGAGAACTTGTCGAGAACTTATCGATAGCGATTGTTCATGGTTCCGCCTCAGGTTTTTAAAAATGTCTGCCGAAAAGCTATCATCAGCCCTTGAGAATTTTAATCCATTTAAAGTAGAATTTATGCAACTAATCAAGAACCAAAAATTAACACACCACCAAATATACAACGCCGATGAGACTGGCAGTGGCGCAACTAGCTTGTTGGTTTTGGGGGGGCTTGAGCCCCGCGTCTCTATAAGTCGATTTCGTGACAGTATATGATGTTTTTCAAAACTTACTACAGTACGTATTTCACAAATGCCTGAATTTGACAGAAATACTCTGCTATAAACTTTGTTCTTCGATGCAATCTACGTTCTTAGTTGAAAAAAAAAACAAAATTATAAAAGATGACGGCCGCGTTCACCAGATACAAACGTTGGTAAACGGTTTGCGATTGTTCTGCTGAACGCTACGTTGAATTTGTGTTGAAACCAAACATGTTTTGCAAACGGTCGCCATTTTTGCAACCATAATTTCAGAGTGTTTATAATTTTCAACAATCTTTGTGCTTTGTGTGGTGACATGACATTCAGAGGGTGACGTTCTATCATTGAAAAGTTGAATCGTTC